AAGCCATTCTAAGGCACAACAGGCTGCATCTTAACAGAACACACACCCTGATGGGTGTTAGGGGTGTCTTACCCCCACAGTATTCAGTTTCCAGAGAGTAAGTCATCTGTGTACCAAGTTTGGTTGAAATTGTTCAAGGCATTCCAGAGTTATGCTGGAACACACACGCATGCAAACACACAGAGCGATTTTTTTATAGAGAGAGATTTTTGCTTTATCACATTTCCATCGTAGATGATCAAAGGTCCCCTCTTTATTTTTTACACTTCCAACCCTTGTCCTCTTCCTGGCTCCCGCAGGTACAGAGTTAGCCAGGCCGAGCTGTTTGCCCTGCTGTGCCGGCTGGCGGATGAGCTGCTTTTCCGTCAGATCTCCTGGATCAAGAAGCTGCCCTTCTTCTGCGAGCTGTCCATCAAGGACTACACCTGCCTCCTGAGCTCCACCTGGCAGGAGCTCATCCTTCTCTCCTCCCTCACCGTCTACAGCAAGCAGATCTTCGGGGACCTGGCGGAGGTGACTGCCAAGTATTCGCCCTCCGACGATGAGCTTCACAGGTAAAAACATAAAAGGCTTTGAAAGGGTCTCTGAGCTTGGCGGTTTTCCTTGCAGGCGTTTCATTAGCCAAACTGGGTAACATTATCAGTGCTAGAAGGAGTGGGCATGGAGGAGGAAGAGGAAGAAAGAGAAGAGGAGGAGGAGGAGAGGGGAAGGAGAAGAAGAAGAAAGAAGAAGAAAGAAGAAGAAGACGACATTGGGGGTCCTTGGTGCTCTCTGAGCTTGGTTGTTTCTTTGTAGACGTTGTATGACCCAACTAGGGAACATCATCAGTGCTGGAAGAGAGTGGGGTTTGAGGAGGAGGACTGTGGGGTCCTTGTTGGTCTCTGAGCTTGGTGGTTTTCTTGCAGACATTTAATTAGCCAAACTAGGTAACCTTATCAGTGCTAGAAGGAGTGAACATGGAGGAGGAAGAGGGAGGAGGAGGACAAGAAGAAGGACAAGAACAAGAAGATGGCAATGACTGTGGGGTCCTTGGTGCTCTCTGAGTTTGGTGGTCTTTTTCCAGGCGTCTCATGACCCAGCTAGGGAACTCTATCAGTGCTAGGCATCCTCCTCCAAAAGAGGAGGAGGCTTTCTGTGGTGGCAACCAGGTTACAGCACCTGCTGAGTTTTTAAGGCCTATCGGACCTCCCGATTCTTCCTTCAGGGGTGGGGATGGGGGTGGGATGGAGTTTCGGCCGAAGGGTCTTGAGAGGAAGCCAGAGTGGGCACTTTCTTAACCGGGCATCCTGGAAACTTCCATCAATCTGTTTGAAAAGGGGGTGCCCTCCCCCCCCACTTGGATCCCAAACACCAACAGACCCAAGTGGAGCAGAAGCCCAGGCCATCCTCGAGTTAGAACCGTTCGCTTAGTGACGAACCGTCCGCTTAGTTAACGCTTAGTGTTAATAAGTTAACAGCAGCATTGGGGGGTGGGGGGGAAGCGGCTCGTGGTTATTTTTCACGCTGAACAACCTTTGCAGCGTCCCCTCCGTGGACAGGTGGTTGACATGAGGAGGCTTGGCAACTGATTCGTATTTATGACGGTCACATGATCCCCTTCTCGCGACCTTCTGATGAGCAAACTTGAGGGGTGGAAACCCAGATTCGCTTAAAAACCTCAAGAGCTTCCCCCGATGACTTTTCGCTCGTCATAAGGTTGCGAAAAGGGGGGATCTGCCCCCCCAATTCATCCAGGGATCCCTCCATCCCCCAATTCATCAAGAACTCCCCCTCCAGCCCCCCAATTCATCCGGAACTCCCCCTCCAGCCTCCCAATTCATCCAGAACTTCCCCTCCAGCCCCCAATTCATTAGAACTCCTCCTCCACCCCCCAATTCATTCAGGATTTCCCTCCATCCCCCCAGTTGATCCAGGGATCCCCTCCAGCCCCCAATTCATCCAGGGATCCCCCTCCATCCCCCCCAGTTGATCCAGGTGTCCCCTCCAGCCCCCAATTCATCCAGAACTCTTCGGCCATCCCTGGGGACTTCGTATCGTGCGGATGTGAGCGTTTCCTTCAAGCCCTCCATCTGAGCCTCCCCTAAACCAGCTTTGAAGATGTCAGTCGTGTGTGTCCCCGTCCTCCCCCACCCCAGGGCAGAACCCCGATAAAAGAAGACCTTCCCTTTCCAGATGTTGAGTCTGTTCTTTCACCGCCATCCCCCTGGGGCCACAGGGGCTGCTTGCCACCCCCCCCTCCCCGCTTGCCGCACATCTGCCTCTCCTCTCCCACTTTCGTTGTTCTCCTTTTGGAAACCTTGACCCGCCCTGGGCTGCCTTGAAACTCCCACCCTCCCTTTAAATCAAGCCTTGTCCGTCCTTTCAACCCCCTCATCCACATTCCGCCCCCCCCTCCAGTTTTCCCCCAACTGCACATTTGCAACGGGGAGTAAAATTTATAGCATCTGGCTTTCTCATCTCCGTTCTCTTATCAGGAGCTGAAAAGGGCTGCACCAGCCGGCAAATTTGCTCTCTGGGGAGAGAGGGGGGGGGCGGTTCCGGGTGATTCTCTAAAATGGGGGGGGGGGAGACATCTCCAGAAAGAGACAAATGCAGAAGAGCTGACCCAGACTCAGTTAGTAGGGTACTTAACCCTAGAATTAGAATAACCGTGTTAGACGGGACCTTGGAGGTCTTCTAGTCCAACCCCCTGCTTAGGCAGGAAACCCTACACCATTTCAGACAAAATGGTTATCCAACATCTTCTTTAAAAATTCCAGTGTTGGAACATTCACAACTTCTGGAGGCAAGCTGTTCCNGATAGATAGATAGATAGATAGATAGATAGATAGATAGATAGATAGATAGATAGATAGATAGAGATAGATAGATGATAGATAAATAGAGAGAGAGGTAGGTAGGTAGATAGATAGACTTATATACCGCTTTACAGCCCTTCTTAAGCTGTTTATAGTCAGCCTATTGCTCCCAACAATCTAGGTCCTCAGTTGACCAACCTTGGAAGGACAAGTCAACCTTGAACCGGTGGGAATTGAACCTCTGGCAGTCGGCGGAGTTAGCCCTGCGATCCTGCATTCTCACTGCTGCGCCACCAACGGCTCTATGACCTCTACGGTCAAGGGGAGGCAGCCTTGAGGCCTTTGGCACGAGGGCCACACCAATGTAGAAGCCAACAGAGGGCTCTCTAAATATAAGAGCCGAGAGGAAAAAACGCTTGGCTTCTAACAGATGGTTAGCTGGGATTGAATGGGGCATGGGAGATATGTAGCCATAATAACATTCCTTCTCGAAGAGTCAAGGTCATTTTGTCCCTGCACCTGGACTGATGTGGATGGGAGGAATCTTTCTTCGTGACAGGGGCCCATTGCGCCATGTGACGGACATGTAGGCTCTGGGGCAGGGTCTTGAACTTTCAACCGGCTGGGGAAAACCAGGAAGCTTTCAGATTTGGCGTTTTCTCAGTTGTTTTGCCAACATGGCTTCTTTAATAAATCTGAATTTATTAGTCCTGGCTTAGCTTCCTTTTCCTTCCCTGCCAGCCATCCGTGAAGACGGCATGCCCGGGGGCAGGAACAAGAGCATTGGGCCTGTCCAGGTGAGCACTTCTACCTTGCAGGGGAGGGGGGAGGCTTTTCTGCCGCCGCCAAATTCCCACCTCCCCCCCCCACCTCGCCAGAGGGTGGGTTTTGAGCCTCTTCCGCTGGTTGAGCCATAAACCCAAACCGTCCGATCCAAGTGATCCACCTAACTCTCCTCTCCCTATCTTGGGAGCAGATCTCCGAGGAAGAGATCGAGCGGATCATGTCTGGCCAGGAGTTTGAAGGGGAGGCCAACCTCTCCTGGTGTAACAACGGCGACAGCGACAACAGCTCCCCCGGAAACGGGGTGTCGGAAAGCAACCAGCCGTCCCCGGTGTCGACTCCGTCTTCGAGGTGGGACTTCGGCAGGGAGGGTGGCCAAGGTCTTTGGGGGGTAAGGGGGGGGGCGTTCAGATGGGTCGGGGGGTCTCTTCCCCCTCCCTTCTCTCTCTCAGCCCTGCCTTGCCTCTTCCAGTAGGTCCGTGGAGATGAACGGGTTTACAGTTCTCAGGGATCAATACATGGGCACCCCGGTGTCCGCCCCTTACCAGTATTTGCCGCACCTTCTCAGCTGCCCGACTCACACGGCCCTGCTGCCCCCCCAGCCCCGCAGCCTCGACTCCCAGGCCCATGGGCTCCTCATCAGCCAGCTGGTCTCTGCAGAGGACCTGGAGCCCTTGGGCACCCCGATGCTGATTGAAGATGGGTGAGTGGTGGCTTCTCTTCCTTCCTCTTCCTCCTCTTGGCGCTTGTTCTGCCCTGGGCTTCCCAAGAGTCTGAAGCAAAACTCCTTGTCCCGACAAAAAAACTCTTTTTATTAATTTGCTGTGAATTCTGCTCATTCACCTCCAGCAAAGTCCTTCAAGGGAGGATTTACAGTCACAGAGCTTATCTGGCTTGGAGAGCTGCCAGGCTGAGATCTGCAGAACTTGGCAAGGAGTTTCGGAGAGTCACAATCCAATGAAGCGAACTAATTGTCTCCTGCAAACTCCACTCCCCTTTCGC